CCGAGCTGTCAAACAGTCAACATTACTTTTAGCAACATAACTGTGCTGCCTTAGCAAAATCAATCTATTAACAAGGTTCCATGTCCAATATTGCACTGTCATGGAACTCACCCAAGGGCTCCTTCTTTTACTTTGTCCTCTGGCATAGGTCAAGCTCAGGCTTTGGCAAAGTTTGCAAGGAATCCCAGAAATCTGAAGTAGCCAACAGTGATAACACCCTCCTGGATAGTTTAATTGTTTGCCTTTGATGCAGCGATCTCTTTGTTGGTTTTAAAAAGGTGAAGATGTATATAGAGAAGCAGTCTCTCATAGGTGCTTTCACACATGGTACTTAAACTAAGGGAAATTTCACATTACCCAGTTTCACCCGGTTTCAAGCCGGTAATGATCCATTTTGAAGTGAACCAGTATAGGGCTGCCATTTCACACATGGCTTTCCCCTTCCGGTAAAGAGCCGGATCTGAAGCGGTTTGCCATTTCAGACTGCACCGCTTTTTCCCACATTCCCCCCACCGTTTTTCGCCCGTTCGGGTGATTTCTGGCTCTTTTTTTTAAACGTTCACTTTAGAGCGCTATAGCGCTATAGCAGTATAACAAAACACGCCATGCATTCCAGTGGGATTGATATAGTACTATTCCGTTATAGTGTTATAGTACTATAACACTATAAAGCAAACATTAAAAAAAAAAGCCGGAGATCGCCCACACGGGTGAAAAACGGCGGGAAAAAGTGCATCGGAACCGGGAGAGGAAACTGAGGAGTACTTGGAAGCGGTTGACAGGTAAAACGCTTCAGCCCCGTTTCCTAAATGGGACAGAAGTTATTGTGTATGAAATGACAAATATATTCCGGAAGGGAACCGGTTCTCAAACGGTTCTGTCTGAAATGACAGACCAGAAACCGTTTGGGGACCGTTCCTCTTCCGGAATATATCGCCTGTCTGAAATTCCTCCCTGTCTTGCCATTTTAAACTTACATTGGCTAAAATGCACAGCTGCTTTCTGTTCTGCTTTATATCTGGCATCAGCAGCATTCACATCTGGCACAAACAACTGAGGGCTCCTCAATACATGTTCATTAATGTCCTACATAAAAGTGGTCCGAGCCAAAACAGTCAAGATGGGGGAAGTATCTGTATGCTTATTTGGTGGGATCAAATAGCAGCTATGGGTGGAAGAGGGATTTACATGGGGAAAGCAGTGCAGGGACCAAGGGCTAAAAACACCATCTCCCAAGACTGGGGTCTGATCCAGTTCACACACATACCCCATCGCTGCTGTTTTTTTAAAAAAGAACATCACTGGGATGAGAGATCTGATCATGGATCTCAAGCATGATTTAATTCCCTGCTAGCCCCTCAGTCAAGAGCAGACATTTGGCGGGGGTGGTGGTTAAATCTCTTCTCTGTGTGTCCCTTCCTTTCCCTCACATTCCTTCCTTAACCTTATTGTTCCAGAGTGCTGCAGAGTGGGCTGGAAGTGGAACGTTTGCGACTCAGGAACTTTTACCATTACTACCATTCCAAGCGCGGCATGTGGAATTCACGCAACAAGAAGACACCCAAAGACTGAACGCCCGCCCTGTTGAACTCCACTCCCGGCCCTCCTGAGGAGGTGAAGAAGAAGCCGTCCGGGCTGTGCTGTCCTGTCTTGGTACAATTCCCGGACGCTGCTGCTGGTGCGCTTCTGGACACGGCACCTGAGGCCTTGTGCAAGGGCTCCTGGAATTGAGGGTTTCTATGGAACTATTTAAAACAAACCATGTTTACTTTGGGATTTTCGTGACTTTTCTTAAGGGATCTAATTTCTTAGTCAGAAATTACAAATATTAACTCAGTAGTGCTTGAAGGGTCGGGATTCCTGCTCAAGGGAGAACAGGGTGAGCCCTCCGCGGTTACTGCCAGTCAGAGAGGAGCGGAGACGGCTGCGTCAGGCTTCTAAAGCTGCAAAGAAAGGTCATGGTGGTTCTCACTCATTTGCCTTGGTTTGGTTCAGACATCACATGAAAGCATGGTTTATTTTGGCTGTGGTTAATTTACGAAGCTGTGATCCAGCTCACAGACGATCCCTTCAATACTGATTTCGTCACCCTTGCTCTGCCCATGAGTATCTGTTGTCGTGGAGCCTCACTGGGGAACTATCCAGCATTAAGCGACAATGTCCATATATCATGAAAACTACAGTGAAGACTAAAACAACTATGGTTTTACGTCTTTCCTTGACACACCCTAATAACTAACCATAGTTAGTGGAGTGGCCTGTATTCAGACAGTCACACTAATCACAGTTTAATTGAATCGTCATTTTGCATTATGTCTGAGCTGAGCCATACTTTGATCTCTGGGCTTTGGCCGTAAAGTGAGAACTGATATCTGGACTTCAGCGCCTTCTCACATCAAGGGGGGGGGGGAATTCCCTCAGGGGAATTCAGTGTCTCGAGAGGAATTGAGAAGATGCGCATTAGACAGCGGGTTTTGATCCATTGAATCCAGTTTTGGATTTTATCCTTGATGCTGTCCCACAGTGACATCTTACCTCAGGTAGGGAGAGCCCCAGCCCGTACTTTTGTGATCTTCTTACATGTACTTGTTTTTGTGGCTGATGGGAAACTGGGAAAACAGTTTGTTACTCTGGGTTCAAAGACAGGAATGGAGACGGTGGAGTCTCATGGAAATGAGCTTAATAAGGGAAACAGCGGCCCCAGCGGTTCTTGGAGCCACTTCAGATACAACACAGGAATCAAGAAACTCAAGTGCCTCATGATTCCGCATCCCCATCTGAGCCGAAACAGAACTTGCATACCTCCCCTGCCCAGGAAAAGCACAGCCTTCCACCACGGGGATCACAAATACATCTTAAAGGCTGGGGATCAGCAGAAGTTCTTTTTCAGGCCAAACAGAGAAGGCAAAGAAACAGGAGGAGCTTTCACTTCCCCCTTAACATGGCCATATCTGAAGCTGTCCTCATTTCATGAACCTGGAAACCAAAGCTGTATGAAAAGCTACTGTTTTTGGAACATCTCTAAACAAGAAAGCTAATTGCTGACCAGTAGCAGTATTTCCTAAACAGAATAATAGAATGTTAGAGTTGGAAGAGATCTTGCAGGTCATCTAGTCCAACCCCCTGCATTCTGCGGGAGCATAGCCGAAAGAAAGCCCTACGACATACCCGAGAGATGGCCGTCCAGCCTCCGCTTGAAAACGTCCAGCGAAGGAGCATCCACCACCTCCCGAGGCAGACTGTTCCACTGCTCAACCACTCTTACAGTTAGGAAGTTTCTCCTGACATTTAGCCGGTAACGACTCCCTTGTAATTTCCACCTATTAGATCTAGTCTTGCAATCCGGAGCAAGAGAGAATAGATCCGCTCCATCTTCTACATGACAGCCCTTCAGATATTTGAAGACTGCAATCATGTCCCCTCTAAGCCTTCTGTTTCCCAGGCTAAACGTACCCAGCTCTTTCAGCCTTTCGTCATAAGACTTGGATTCCAACCCCCTCACCATCCTGGTTGCCCTCTTCTGGACACGCTCGAGCTTGTCAGCATCCTTTTTAAAATGTGGTGCCCAAAACTGGACACAGTACTCCAGGTGAGGCCTGACCATAGCAGAATAGTGCAGAACTACCACCTCCCATGATCTGGACACAATGCTTCTTTTAATGCATCCTAACATTGCATTAGCTTTCTTCGCAGTCACATAGCACTGCAGGCTTATGTTTAGCTTGTGATAAACCAGAACACCTAGATCCCTTTCACATGTGCTGCTGTCAAGCCAAGTTCCTCCCATTCTATATCTGTGCCTTTGATTTTTTGTACCTAAGTGTAAGACTTTGCACTTATCTCTATTGAAATTCATTTTATTTGTCTCAGCCCACTGTTCCAGCCTATCTAGATCATTTTGAATCCTGACTGTCTTCTTCAGAATTAGCTTCGTGTCATCTGCAAATTTTATAAGCATCCCCTCT